TAATCCCATATACCTTCTAATTTTCGAAAAAGGGTATAGGGTTACCAAGTTTTAATTATCCAAATTTTAAGGCATCTAAAATTGAAATTAAGAAAACTATAAACCGTAAGGTTAGGGTGTCAAGAACCCTAGCCTTTTGCCAAAGTTTTAAGCCTTAAGATTTAATTCCATAAACCCTAATTTTGATCCATTCACTATTATGCACAATCAACTATCAAACTAAGGCTCTGATGCCACTTATGAGTTTTCCAGGTTATAAAAAAATACATATGAGCGGAAAACACTTAAACGCTTAAGTTCACATGCAACCTAGAAATGATCTATGTTTTCTCTATTGGTAGCAACTAACTATGAATATCAAGAAACCCTAATGAAATCCTACCATTATCAAAATTCATATAGAAATAAGGTTACATACCTTTTGATTATTGTAGCAAATAATCACACCAAAATCCTCTTAAGTTCCTTGGAAAGCAAGCACCAAAAACTTGAATGCCTCTAATGGTTTGTATCCAAAACCCTAGTAACTAGAAGACTTGAGGAGAGAGGAGAGGTAGATAAAAATTTTGGTCCTGTTTATAGTTGATAAGGAAAGCTTTGGATAACCCTAATTGAATATTATAATAATATCTCAAATGTGGTAATTATCCAACTCCTTAATTATCTATAAGAAATCATTTTAGAAACCCTAAGAGGCTTCCCAAAACCGCCCCCCCCCCAATGGGAAGATTCTGTAACATCTATTGTTTAACTATTGAACAAATTACATCTTAGCCCTTGCACTTTCAAGTAATTCTAATTATCCCGAAATTAATTGTAATTAATTTTTGATTAATTCTTAATTAATTCTTAATTAACTAATAATAATTCAAATTAATATATTAATCACATAGCATATTAATAAATCATTTATTTCAATTTCTAATTTATTTAATAATCAAATAAATTAATTAATCAGCCTCTCTCCCCAAAAGTCATTCTATTCAGTTATTGGTTATGATGGCAACCCAAAAATGTCTTTTCTTCTAATTTAATAATATACCAAATTAGTTATTGGCTTATACATCTTAATCAACATAAAGTTCTCACATTGACACCTCTTCCTTTAGATTCAAGTTTGATGCCAATTTTGGGTACTTTTGGTTCCTTCCATGAATGCTCTTGGAGTTTAAGAAACTCTAGAGCTTGCTATGGCTCTCTAATGGTCCAGAGGTTCTGTTGAGTGAGAAAAAGGCCTTTGTTTTGGATGATTATTGGTCTCATGCACAAGTTTTGGTCCCATTAAGGACTTAATGGACTTAGGGTTATAGATCTAGCCTTAGAGTGAAGTCCTAATGGATAAAGTTGGAAACTTTATCCATTAAGTCATTGAAAAGAAGTAGATTTTAAGTTTTGGGCTTAGATCTATAAGGATTAAGCATTTAATAAAGAATATGGCAATCTGCTAGTTCCCACGACGTGGGAATGGGCTTGCCACGACGTGGTGGTTCTCAGCTTCGCGACTATTTTGTCCTGATGTGCCCACGGCGTGGCCAAGAGGCCTCCACATCGTAGTGGGGGTTAACTTGGTTGACCGTTGACTTTTATGTTGACCATTGACCGTTGACTTTTATGTTGACATTGACCGTTGACTTTTGACCAGTTTAACTTTGGTTTTAACTTGGAGGAATTAGGTTATTGACTAAGGTTCTACCTTTGCTTGGTGCTAGTTGGTTCGTAGGAGCGATCAATACAGGAAGTGAGGGTGCTGCTATGTTTTCCTTGGGTCTTCGATTCAAGTGAGTTTCCTCACTATACTATGTGTTACAGTGTATATCATTGTGTGTCACGATATAAGAGTAGCAGTATGTTGGTTAGAGTATCATTAGGTTGGTTATTGTCTAGTGGAGTTCCCTAAGGGTTGTATGTAGTCACATAGGATAGCCTGAGAACAGTTGATCTAGGCTTTCTTACCTGTTCCTTGTTTGGTTGTGGATCTAGAGTGGGATCATCTGTTCGAATGTCTATCTCACCTGTAGTTACATATAGCTATGCATTCCTTGAGATCTGTTGTTCGTGGCATAGTGTACGGTATGAGGCCTGATATGCCGGTAGTGAGCTGTTAGACAAGTAGACTAATGTAGAGAGTTGCATGTGTTTATGTGTTCACTTGATTGCTTGTTTGTTACATATGTCGACATATTGGGTGGTGGGTTAAGACGGTCCTGCTTTGTGTTGTATCCAAGATACCCAGGCAGGCCACAGGGGCGGACCTAGTAGGTGTCCCGGTGTTGCACCGGCAACACCTACTTTTTCTGTCCGTAGTGGAAAAAAATTTGATTTTTCGATTTTTTACCTATTTTTTCTACATCGGCAACGCCTATTTCAACCTCGACAACATCTACTATGTATTCCTGCATCCTTCCCTGACAGGCCAGCGGTATGTTGTAGACTAGGTGTGGATCAGTTGTAAGCTCTGGGAGAGAGAGAAAAAGAAAGAGAAAGAGAGAGAGAGAGAGAGAGAGAGAGAGAGAGAGAGCAGTCCAGGTGTACTGTAGGATTTGCAAGGTGGTCCAGTCAAACTGTAGGCTCAGGAGTAGTCAAAGTGTGTTGTAGGCCTTGCGAGGCAGGCCAGACAGACTGAAGGCTTATGTGTGCATGCATTGTATGTATATTGTGGTATGTTGTATTTTGGGGGAACTCACTAAGCTTTGGCTATTTGTGGATTAGATATTTTTCAGGTACTATTGGTGATCGTGGGAAGGCAAAGGCGTGACTGTACACACTCATCAGTAGCAGAGTAGATTCCACATTTATTACATTACTCTGATTTTCAAACAGTTGTATTTTGGAACAAATGGTTTTCTTAACTTGGGTTATATGAACATATTGTTTTATTTTAATTAAAAATGAAATTTTTTGTTGTGAAAATGGGGCGTTACAGTCTTGAATCTTCTAGTGGGGTTCCAAATAAGGTAAGTACAGCATGGGAAGAGCGCAAACATATCAAAAATTTAACAAATGATGGGTTGATTATGTGTGTGGTGAAATGGGATAGTTTCTTAGGAAAACTACATTTATTTTGTTATGTAATGGTTATGTATTGACAAACATTTCCTTTATGTCCGTTTATGTTATGTTTTTTATAGTGAATTCTTATTTGTTATGGATATGATATGTGATGAAATACTTATGTTTGTGTTACTTATGGTGAAACCCTAAAATGTTTGTTGAAAAGCTTATTATTAGTGTGAATTATAGAAGGATGATACTTGAAATTAAACTACTATCCTAAAGATGTGTTATGAACATTGTGTTTTCTTAATGTAAGCCTACATAGTACAATTGCGTTGATCTTGTTGGTTCATGATGCTTATTCGAATTCCATAAACAAAACAAGCAACATAAACATTTAATCAAAACACATCATGATCAAGCCATTGGATCTATGTTCATATATTCAAGCAATAAATGTTAAACTACAAGAAGGTTTGTGTGTGTATGTACTCCTTTCGAAGATCAAGAAGCAAACACAATAGAAGGAATGTACAATCCATTTATCGAGGTCACACCCTAAAGCAACAATCCGAGAAAGAAAGCATATCAAACCTTTGTCTTTTGCTGAACTAGCAAAACCGAGAACCCTTATGGGGTATGTATTCCCAATCAACGAAAAGAGAAAATGGGAGGAAGAGAGAGAAATCGAGATTAGGATAAGTCTCTCGTGGATTGGCTTACCTTTTTATACTTACATAATCCATAGAGCTTTCCTTTCTCTAAGATTTGGTTTAAATTAGGCAACTATCCGATTAATATAATCATCTTATATACTTACCTTCCATAATTTAAATCTTTGTCTTATAACAAAATAAGTTCATCTCTTTAAGACTTTTAGTTTATAATTATACCATCAACTGATTTATAATAAACTAGTCCTTATATTTATTTATTTCTTGTTGTTGGATTGAGCCTTATGTGTAACCCAATATGTTTATGTTTTTACAAGTAGTATTACTAACTTGTTATGTTGGTGCACATATGTTAAACATATCCTACTTTTCCAATCACCAATATACAAAATTTGGAAATAAAACAGTCCACGCCCGTAAGTGTCTTTCATTTTCATTACTTGAAACATGTACTTTACATTTCCACACAAAGACAACATGCAACATACGACCTAAATTTCCTAAATAAACATGAACTAAACTAACTATTTCATCTTTTATGCAACCTTACTAAACCAAAATTTGCAAAGAGTATCCACTATTTCATCTTAACCAAATAGTCCTTATAAAATGTTACATTCTTCAGTTTTGTGCAACAAAAAAGTTGTTATCAGCTTCTAGGGCATTCATGGAATGACAAAGTCATAGAATGGCATCGATTGCCATTGGACACATTGGTGGACCAACCTAGTGAAAAAAATCCACATTTAGTACCCTTTCATTACCACTTCGGAGAATTAGTAAAATCTTCGCCCATGGTTGTTGGATGTCCAAGAGGTTCGTGTTATAGTATATCGACCATGTGCATAAAAGCCATTTTCAAATGAGAGGATTTACATTCGATAAATGTTGAAGAATAAAACTGAAATCCACTTATTGTTTTTTCAATAAGCAACTGGAAATAGATAGGGACGAAACGATATAAATACTCTTATGTGACTTTCACACGACACATGACAAACAAAATAAAGAAGAAGTGATGGACATTGATAATATTGTTTCAATTAGGGACCATCTTTGCAATAAATAAAATCTTTATACTAGGGTATTATATTTGATAAAGTTCATAATTTTTTTTTTCTAATTTATAATAGTACTTGTACTTTGATAAGCTTTATTGAAATATAATTGTGTACTAAAGATAAGGGTATATATTGTTGATAATGGTATAATCGGAGGGAAAGAGGTGGAAGATGTGGTGACATTTGGTAGAGCTAGAGAGTACACGGGCCCACTCTGGAAGTGGGCAGTGGGGTGAGTTGGACGGACTCAGATTTCCGCCATGGCTCCACTCGATTACTTGGCCTCTTCATCACAACACGCGAACCACGTATCTCTCTCTCTCTCTCTCTCTCTCTCACTTGTTTCTCTCAGATTCAACGCACTCAGCCACCAGCAACAACCCTCCTCTGTCTCTCCGCCGTCACGGCCTTACGCCAGTTTCACTCGACAATCCCCCAGATAACATATATATTACGACAGAAGCAGACACCCACATATATGATTCAGTTTGAAGCTAAATAAACAATTAATCACTGAGATGGAGGCATCCGCCTCTTCCCTGGTTTGTACATGGATAGTAGCGGCCTGCATGTCTGTCTCTTGCCAAAACGACCAACATCCCTCGTTGTTGTCTTCTAAGCCACAAGCAACCAACACCAGATGGGCTCGCAAACGGAGACTCTTATCTAAATGTAACGCCAGCGCCAACGCTAACGCCAACACCTCTTTTCCTGGTTTTGGACGATTAACTGCTACCAATACCATTGAGGGTTTCATGTCCTCTTGTTTATCTCCATGCGATCGATACAATAGCTCCAATGGTTTTTCACTTTCCTCTTCTGATTTTTTCGGTGCTGCTTCCCTTTTCCGATCCGGAAATGTTCCCCTTGGTGGCAGGCGCCGCCGCCCCCTCCGTTCAGGTAATCTTCTCACTTCTTATCCCCTTTCTTTTAATTTATAAATCAAATCCGCTTCAGTGGTACCCCCATTCTCACTTGTCCTTTAATTTGGGATTCCGTTTGTTTCTTAATTTTGGGTGAAAAGGTTTCTTATCTCAAAACCCCAACAAAGTTTTACTCTCTTTACACTTTGAGGCTTCAGACACTTGCTTAATTGGATTCTATTCTATTCCCGATCTCACTGAATTGAACTTTTAGTTAATGCAGCTGGTATAAGCTGGTATGCTTGATTGTTCAAAACCTAACAGATCTTTTAGCATAATAGATAAAATGCCAGATTGATAATGGAGTTGCAAATTAGTCTAACCAATTTAGTTTCTGTAATTTCTTGTTCTGATTTTTTTCAAATTTGGGTATATGCACACGCATGCAAATATATATATATATATATTCAACTTTATATTAAAGTCTATGCAGGTTTGGTTGAAGTTGGTTGCATTAATTCACATTCTCCTCTCTCTTTATCTCATTTACTTACGCATATTAAGTCTTCATGATATTATTAGTCACCAACCAGATTCTTGGTTTCTTAAACATGTAGGTGAAGCAATGGCTATAGCCATTCAACCTTCAATGGAAACAGTGACAAAAAAGAAACCACCAACAAAACAAAGGCGAGTGGTAGTTACAGGAATGGGTGTGGAGACCCCAATTGGTAACAATCCAAATGATTTCTATAACAATTTGCTAGAGGGTGTTAGTGGCATTAGTGAAATTGAAGCCTTTGATTGCTCCAACTATCCAACTGTATGTCTTTATTCTTACCCTTTATTGTTTTTTTTATAAAGTTATTGATTAGAATCAAGTCATTAACATAACAGAGTTTAAATTTACAGAGAATTGCTGGAGAGATAAAGAATTTTTCAACAAATGGATGGGTGGCACCAAAATTATCCAAGAGGATGGATAGGTTTATGCTTTACATGTTAACTGCTGGAAAGAAAGCTCTTGCAGATGGAGGGATAACTGAAGATCAAATGGATGAATTAGATAAAACCAGATGTGGGGTTCTGATTGGCTCTGCTATGGGGGGTATGAAGGTAATTTCACAAAGAAAACATATTCTTTATTCTTTCACTTCTATTTCTGTATCTTAAGAGTTTTAACGCATTCTTTGTTTTATAATTTCTTAGGTTTTCAATGATGCTATAGAAGCTTTAAGGGTTTCATATAGAAAAATGAATCCTTTTTGTGTACCCTTTGCAACTACTAACATGGGGTCCGCAATGCTGGCCATGGATCTGGTGAGCAGATTTTTATGATCCTAAAAGGATTTTAAGCATTCAAGATTCTTGTAAATTGTAAATGATGTTCATTTGCATATTGTTGTTCTTCAGGGATGGATGGGTCCAAATTATTCTATCTCTACAGCTTGTGCCACTAGCAACTTCTGTATATTAAATGCAGCAAATCACATCATCAGAGGTGAAGCTGTAAGTGACTTTTGTTACTCTATAATACTTCTAACTACAAAAGAAAAGAAAGTCATTAATTAAAATTCCAAAATAGCTATTTATGTTTAGTTATCTAACAGTGTAAAGAATCTTGCAGGACATGATGCTTTGTGGTGGCTCAGATGCTGTCATTATACCTATAGGTACTACTAAATCTTTTCTTGTGTAAGGTGTTTTTTGTCTTTTTGACTTAATGAGCTTAATAGTTTTAGCACTTAATCTAGACAATTATACATGGCTATTTCTTTTTTTATTTACTTAATCTAGACAAATGACTTCATGTATACCCATTTGCTGTTCTTCTTTCCTCACAATACTCGTATTGTGAAAGTTGTTAGAGAATAAGGGTAAAATGGTCATAAAAGATAAATATTTATTTCATTATCCATGGTGTAGGATTGGGAGGATTTGTGGCATGCAGGGCTTTATCTGAGAGAAACAATGATCCTGCAAAAGCATCACGTCCATGGGATACGGTAATATTAGATATTCTTTTCTTAAAATATAAATTTTATACCATTTAAAAAATGTATATAATTTTGGTTATGATGTTTTTACAGGGGCGTGATGGATTTGTTATGGGTGAAGGAGCTGGAGTTTTGTTGTTGGAAGAACTTGAGCATGCTAAGGTTTGTTTTTTTTTTAATTGTAATGATATTAATATGGTTTTGGTAATAATTTATTTTGTATTTGATGTGATTAAAAATGTTGAAATTGGACAGAAAAGGGGTGCTACAATCTATGCAGAGTTTTTAGGTGGAAGTTTCACTTGTGATGCTTATCATATGACAGAGCCTCATCCACAAGGTAGAAAGAAATCAATAATGAGAGATATGATAATACGAACTAATTTGTTCAAGAAAAAAAATGGAAAGTAATTGATTTTTTTTTTTAATTATGTTTTATTAGGTGCTGGTGTGATTTTATGCATAGAGAAGGCGTTATCTCAAGCTGGGGTGGCAAGGGAAGATGTGAATTACATAAATGCCCATGCCACATCAACGCCAGCTGGAGACCTTAAAGAATATAATGCTCTTCTTCATTGTTTTGGGAAGAACCAAGATGTGAGAGTTGAGATTTAATGAAAATATTTTTAGTTTTATTGGGTAATTAATTGATTATGAAATTTGAATGTTTGCAGTTGCGAGTGAATTCTACAAAGTCCATGATTGGCCACCTTCTTGGAGCAGCTGGTGCTGTGGAAGCTGTTGCAACTGTACAGGTAAACCAATACTTACAGCAGTATGCAATTTGCCTTTTCATTTTTATTTTTTTCTTGAATATTATTGGATGCCATAAATTTAATAATGGTATTGAATATTGATGTTGTTTTGGCAGGCAATAAGGACAGGTTGGATTCATCCAAATATCAATCTTGATAATCCAGATGAAGGGGTGGTATGAATTATATAATTTTTTTCTATGGTTATTTGAGAAATAAAAATTCTTTTATTACAATAATGACATATGATGAATGCAGGATACAAAAGTGTTGGTGGGGCCAAAGAAAGAGAAACTGGAAGTGAAGGTGGCGTTGTCTAATTCATTTGGATTTGGGGGTCACAACTCTTCCATATTATTTGCACCTTTCCAATAGACAATACTTGCTCTTTATTCAGACATGATATGACATGGTAAGATGACCCCACCCCACCCCACCCCACCCCATTATTATTATTATTATTATTATTATTAAACAGTGGTGTATATCTGTTGTTGCAGGGGTGTGTCTGTTTGGAAAAAAGAGAAACAGTGGAAGATGAAGGAAGAATGAAAGCTAAATGGCTAATGCTAGTGAATGCTGTTCTTGTAATGATATTCTTCACCTGACTGTTGTTGCTTCCATCTGTGTACTTTGAAAGTAGATGAGAATGAATGAAATATTTTGTTGGATTTTGATGTTATATGTATTACTTTTCTTTCATCATATGTTTTGCCTCATAGACAGATAGTCGTTTAATTAAGGGTTATTTTTTCAAAAGTTTCAATAAAGTCCTAAAAAAAAATTTGAACAAAAAAGTCGCAATATTTTGAAAAAATCATATAATCTATCATTTGCTGTTCAAATATAAAAGACTTTTTCGTTAATTTAGACAAAAAAATCAAAATATTGGGATTTTTCTGTTAAAAAAAAACTTTAATGACTTTATTGAAACTTTTGAAAAAAAAAATCGGATTTTTCTGTAGATAACCTTTTAATTAATGGTGTGTATTATTTATTTCCCACACCAGATCCAAGTTCTCAACTCTTTACAGTTCAATCTTTACTAAAATTTTCACCCCCCCCAAAAAAAAAAAAAATGTTAATTGTAAGAGCTATGATACGTTTAAAATTGAGTTAAGATTTTATTTCTTTTACTTTAAATCTGAATCTGGTGTTGGAAACTGAGGTTAATGGTCGATCAACAATATAATAACTAGTTTTGTAGAGCGTTTTCACTAAGATGACCAACAAAATAAGGTTTCGATCATAGCACGTGACTTCGCAAAATAACTTTAAATATTATTTAGCATGGATACGGACTTTTTTGCAAAATGAAGGATTGTTACTCGTATATGATAATTTCAAGGAAAAAGGACATGAAAATGCAGTCCAAGCAAACTCATCTATTATATAATGTTTTAAATAGAATAAATATTTTTGTATACACTCAAAAAACAGCACATCGTCTAGCCTTGAAAATAAATTAATTAAGCTGTCTTTTTTTCCCTTTCCCATTCCCTTTCTTCTTCAACTTGAAGGCCTTCATTTTCAAGGCATTGGACACACTCTGGCCTTCCATCATCTTGGACATTTTCACAACACTTGACATCCCTTTCCGGGCAGCTGCCCGCTGCTCGGGTCTCCTGCTGACCATCTTGCGATCCAACGGCCAATAAGCATAGGGCTCCAACTTCCCTTTCCTCTTCAAATCCCCACCTGCCTTTTTACTCTTATATTCCCCACCCGTATACGCCCACCCACTCTCCACTTTCCTCCTCTTCTCTCCTCCTTTCCGTGACTTATTACCTCCCGACACCTCACTCCTCGCATCATACTCCTCCGCCACCTCGCGTTTCGTCTCTTCTTCGCGTATTATCAGCCGTCCATCATCATCTATCTCTGGCTCATCCTCCGACTGTAATTTCCGCTTTAAACTCTGAGATGATCTCAGGGACAATCTCGTCTTTTCACGGTCCATTAAGTCCAGCGGCTCATCCTCTAATCTGTCGAAATCGTCTTCTGGTAGCCTCTTCCCTGCTCTCTTGGACCTGCAAAGCATATCATGACATTACATTAAATTACATGTTTGGTCCTTGGGCATACCTGATTTTTACAAAACTGGTCCAAAAACAGTTATTATGTTGGGGCCAAAGCACAAACCGGATTGAAGGATTCTTGGAGTTGACCAAGCTGCGTCGACCAGAAACCGCATGTGTATGATGCATGTCATCTGAATTCCCATCCTCAGTTTCATCATCAGAGAATATTTTTGTATGATTCCACCTGCTCATCCTGTAAATTATATATAAAATTATAAATAATATCTAAAAATATCTTTGCTTAAAAGACAAGAAGCGAAAAGAACCTGGAGGTGGTTGCTTTTGACATACGAGATTTGGTTTCCTCAGTGTTAGCAGCATATTTTCGCTCATTCCGTTCCTTTGTCTGCACTCCATTCCATTCCATTCCAACTTGTTTAATTTTAATTCCAAATTAATTTCTTAAAGAAGAAAAAAAACATTAAATCTTCAACAAACCTTTCTAATATTAGTAAGCAGCTTCATATGTTCTTCGGGCATAACTTCCTTAACAGCATCAATCCCACATTTCTTCACAAGCATTTCAAGCAGCAGCTTCACCTGTAACAACATATCATCATCCATTCCATTTATTATATTTCAATAACAATTTATCACAAGATATAAATCCAGATCTTTCACTAACCTTTGCCTTAAAATGACTCTTGTTCGTACTCTGCCAGCTCAGCAGAGCCTCCACCATGCCCTTCATATGCATTTGCAACCCTTCAGCTTGTGATTTTGCAACTAATACCTTTATCAAACCTAAATTCGCCTGCACCAATAACAACCATATTAATAGACACTTAATATAAAATAATAATAATAATAAATACTTACTTTAATTATCTCTCTGTTTTTTCTTTGAAGAAGGAGAAAAGCGGATGGAAGAACACTGAAAGCAGTGGATACAAGATCAGTAAACTCATAAGTCAAACGAGCTATGCCTTTGACCGCTGCACTTATCATGTGAGGTGTCTCGCCAGCTAAGCCACCAGCCACCTGTATCAAAAATAGCAACCAACTTTTTTTTAAAAAAAAAAAAACCTAAATAGAACCCAAAATGTCTTTACAAAAGTACATTACCATATTGAAAAAGCTATACAAATTCTCCTTGTTTCCACCCTTATCTTCATCCACACACGCATGACCAATTTGGACAATAATATCATATGCCCTATTTCTTGTTTTCTTGTTAGCCTGTAGATCATAAAATCAGCCACAAATAAAAAAAAATAAGCAACAAAGTACAAAACTTCAGAAAGTTCTAGAAATTCTACCTCTTTGAGTCCAAGTACAATTTCTGTCAAAAAAGAAGCAACAATTTCACGCTTCATCTGTTCTGATTCATCCTTTGAGACATGGACAATTATGAAATATAAACAGTCAAGTCTGTGTCTTTTGGCTGAAAAATGGCATGAATGCATCACTTCAAACATCAGTTTGAGTAAATCTTCAAGCTTTCTTGCAATGAAACCATCAGCATGCTGTCAAATCAAAAAAGAATGTAAAGTTTTAATCTTTATGTCAAGATTATGTTAATGGTTTAATTAAAATAAATACCTCAAGGATTGTTGAAAGAACTTTGTAAGCCTTCTTTTGAATTGAACTATCAGTGTCCTTCAATGCAGGTTCTATTGCAACAAATAACAGGTCAACTTCTTTTACACCTAACCCAGGTAAAAGTGCAACTGCCAGGTCATATAATTGTACCCTGTAAAAGAAAAATACAAACATGTTAGATTATTTTATAAAAACTATTAGTCAAACGAAGAAGCTTTACCTTGTTTGTGACAAAGAATTTTCATTCGATGATTGGTCTACTTCCATAGAAGTAGAATTTTTTGTATTTTGTGCTTTTCCAGCCTCTTCTGTGACCTTCAATAGTTTCTGCATTGTGGTCTTGAAAAACCTTGAGACTACACCTTTCTCAGCTATAGATGCAAAGTCACCAATTGTTTTCTACAAAATGGAAATTTTAATCAACCAACAGAGGTTCTAAATTCTAATCAATTACAAAAATGCCATCAATCCTACCTGTAAAGATCCACCATCATCTTTATCAGATTTCATGAAAATTCCAGATAGTGTAGACAAAATATCACGTGCAGAGGACCTTAACACATCCAAATTACAAGTTGCAACTTCTAAAGTGTAGCGGGAAACTGCACGTTGTTCACATACACTGACTTTGTTATCAGAGGGTTGACTTTGACTTTCCCCATCCACTATTCTTTTATTTTGTCGAATGAGAGTCTGTAAACTGGAGCATACTACTCCACGAAAATCAGGTTCTTGACGAAGAGAATGGCATAATGCTTTTTCTAAATCACTGAAACTTTCAGCAGTATCAAGAGGGTAGTTGCAAAATGAAGGCAATAAAGACCACAAAGAATATATAACTCCATCAATGCTTCTAGCAGAATGAATTCGCCCTTCTTGCTCATGCTGTTGCAAGCAGACATGTAAGTAGAAAGAACAAGACATAAAACAGAAAGAAAAGATTCAAGAGCACTTATTACCTTTGCAGATTTCAGCTTCAATATTCGAATTGTATCGAGCAAAGATTCACTGAAAAAACTTAAACGGGCACCCACAATGTTTTGCTTCAAGATAGGGAAAAGCCAAACATTGGCATTAGAGATGTCTTCAGCTTCTAGATTTAGAGGTAGAAATCTTAAGAAGGTTTCAGGCCCTAATGCAATTACAGCCATTCCCATGCAATCATGCAACTGTTTCCTGTAAGGAAGATCTTCATCACGCAACTTTTGTATGTCTTCCAAGCTCTTAAGAGTGGCCTTTAAGAAGTAAGAGCTGAATTCACCTAGTTTATCAAACATTGCAGCCACAACTTGAAATGACATGTCCCAGACTGCAGCATAGCTATAATCAAGTAAACTCTCAACTGTCGCACAGAGTTTCTCAATTATGGTGGGCCCAGATTTTCTCCCACTTGTCTTAATCTGATCTACACCCTGCTTGATTAAGCTATCATCAATGCATGTATGTATTAAGCTCTTGAGTGCCTCCATAGCAACAACCAAAGGCTCCTCATGCTCAGAAGCTAAAATATCTCTGAATGCACTGAACACAACTGGAAGCTTGATAACACAAGTCTGTCTGTTAAGAGAAAAAGCTTTCTTCATCCCTGAATCCAACAGTCGTGCAGTGAATGTCAAGTTATCACCAGACATCTCATTTGAAGAGACTGAGACAGCTAATGAGCATAACAAATCCATCAGTACTTCAGGAGAGACCTCTACAGTTGGTTGGAGGCAAAGTAAATACAAAGCATCTGTAATTCGACGTGTAGCTGCAGATTGGTGTAGTGCTAGAAGAGATTTGAAGTAGTTCAGAATCTTTGTTGAGAACTTGACAGACATAAGGGGAAGAGTATCTTTCAGAGCATCAAGAATATATAGGACCTCTTGAGCTCTAGAACCTTCTGAGGTGTTGGTATTTGATCCTCCAGCAAGTAGAAGAAACCTCTCAAAGGTGCTTGCAATGGCTTCACTAGCAGGTGACAACACTGGTGTTTCCCTGAAGCCTTGCATTACATCACGGAGACAGATATGTGATTGCCTTCTTACCTATAAGAAGAAGACATGTGTTATTCTAAGCTTTCTAACTATCATAACCATGTGTCAAGATGAACTATGAAGGAGTAATCTTGCTGCAATATAGAACAATTCAGCTAATCCATTTACTAGCTTCTTAGGTAAATTTCCAGTTAACAAATAACTTTCACTCACAAACATAAACAGGAATCAAGTTTGGATAACTTGATGCTTTCTCAAAAGAAAAAAAAAAGTATCAACTAGAAGTAGAATACTAGTACTCCAAATATATATTCAAAGATGCAGATGTATGTGTTCAAAGAAAGCTTGCAACAAAAAATCACCTTGGGACGCGAATCTGCAATAAATCCAAGAAGAACTCCAAATAAATGAGAAACGTCAGACCAGCTCATCCTATGACCAACGATTAACAAATGGGAGATGCACTTTAAGCCAGAAGCCACGACGCTATCGGTAACACCATTGGATAGAATAAGACGGGAGATTAGACCGGAAACGTAGTCGGACTCCTTCCTGAGAACAGCAGAATTAATACGGGGTAGGACCATGGAGATGATACTGATGAGAGCATCAATGTGGTGAGACGGCGGGTTGGGGTCGGAAGATGAGAGCTTATCGAGAGAAGTACAGGTGGCGCCGAAATAGGCAAGGGGGGTAAGAGGGTGGTTGAGGTCTTTGAGACCTTGAGATATATCGCCAATCATGGAACACAGGTGGTGGTGTTGGGGGTCTGTGGAGTTAGAAAACCGTGAGAGGATCGAGTTGCAGAAGTCATCGTCGGAGCGATTGTCGTGTTCCATATCGCCGATAAGCTGCGGCATCTCTGGGGCATCCATGAAGAGAAGAGAAGCGGAAATGCAAGGGTTTTGCAGAGATGCCGACTCTCTCTGTCTCGGCGTATTTGCTAGGGTTTTAGGCTAAAAGATTTGAAGATGTGTGAAGCTTAAGACTTAATTTGACGACAATTGCATCACCGGTCCTTGGATTTTCGCTTAATTACACAGATAACCCCTCATGTAAAGTAGCGTTTTTAGGTTCGCACGAGGTTATATTATTTTGTGAGTTACCCCTTCCCGATCAAGTAGATTGTCGGATATTCATCATGTTTTATTGTTTGGAGAGTGATACCTTTTAAATAGCTAAACAATAAGTTTTACCCGAAAATGGTGACCAAATATGCTAAACGATATTTTTTTCTAACCAACATATCCATATTGTGTACATAAGATGGTGATCCACCTAAACATTCGTGAAATTATCAGTTCTCCACATGAACATACAAAACATAACAAAATTTAAGATCTAAAATAATCATTAGTAACCACATTATGTCAAATTCATAACATGTATTTTTATAACAAAATAAATATTATAATTCATAATGTGTAAACCACAACTATCATGACTAAAATAACCTTAAGTGCGAAAACACTTGTAAACTTATGTTTTTCCTATTTCAAGATACAATTCATGTTCTTCTCTTTTCAATTCTAAATGCATTTTCTTCAACATGAGGTAAGTATTTGTAGCCTTATAAAGTTAGTTTCATATCTATTCATCTAAAATATATAGTCATTCATCATGTTCTTTCAAACAAACATATTAAACATAGATGTAAAAGATAACTTCATTACACTTCCTACCTAGACAAACATAAACTTTGAAATTAGAGCATCCCAAAAACCTTCTACCACGGGTCCCCAAAGTATGTGGAGTTTCCACATCATAATCTTTTGATTTCACTATTTCATGTCAACATCCTATTTTATAGCTTAATATAGACAATGACGATGTCATTTAGAAGAAGAAGATAAGAAATAATAGATTATGTTATCACTTTTTCTTGTCAACCATCTATTTTTGTGTATATAAGCATTAACATTGTTTTAAATGAACCACGGTTACCAAAACATTGTTTGAAAATGGTGCTAACACTTTTTACCACTATAATAATTACTAATGGATGTATGGGTAAATATTATACTTTACATCCACCTTTTCCTTATTCGAGATGTCTGAATTCTTTCGGCGCATCTACACCTTCTAGCCCATATTTTATTTCCAATGTTGATTCATTGACTCTTCCTTACACCTTATTATATCATGATTTTGAGATATTTATAAAAGTGTGTTAAATAAACTTTAGATGTCGCAAAAACATATCGATATAAGCATACGGATCCTACTTTCCATATTGTTCTCAAAGTGCATTGTATGGTTTACCGTAAAGTGTGAGACCAATCAAGACTAAAGCCTATATTGACATTATTTTTATTGGAGTATTTCCAAACCCCACCATATTTCTTGCTCTATCGAATGACCAAACAAACTTCTTCATTTCTCAAATGCAATCATTGTTATTAGTTTACTTTTGTTAATCTTTTTCTTAAGGAAAAAAAATCATTGTTATTAGTTTACTTTTGTTAATCTTTCTCTTAAGGGAAAAAAAAAATCGTAATTGATTTACCCATTATTTGTACTTTTGCATGTACTTTTACTTTACTTACGTTATATAAGCCATTAAAAACAAACATCGCTAGTGATTACATGTTTACTTCTAATACTAAATCCATTGCCAAATAACAAAATTATATGAATACCTAGTGAGCACCATCTATTAGGCAGTGGAAATTTTTATCGCCTTATATGCATCATAAATGTTCATGGGGAAAATTTGTTTTTTATTAATTTAATTTCCACTCTATAATCTATGATCACAAACTTGCACACTTTTGTGCGAAATAGTCTTTTTTGTAAAAAAGGTGATGTCACAAATTCGAAGGCCATTTTTTCACGATAGTGTTGATCATTTTGTTATTGACTATTAAAATAGGGTTATCTTGATATTATGGCTTACAAATATGGTCATTTTAATCATGGGCGAAACCAATTTTTTTTAACACGTAGCACAATTTTTTTCCGATAAAATATAACAAGATAAGAAAATAACTAACCTGAGACAGAAGAAAGAGTACTCAAAGAAGTTTAGTATCCAATGTTTTAATACTTGGGCATGTTTATCTTTTTAGATTGGTTATCACCAAGGGTTCAATACCAATGCTCATCTAAGGCAACAATTATCAGCTAAACCTTCAACGACAGATGCAAGAAACACAAAACAATTCAAGAAGCCCACTCGCAAAGCACAAACTCATCAAACTTTTGTCCATAATATTGTGTAACGAGTAAAGAGCATCAATATGGAGTTGAAGAACCTAAACAGACCATGATCACCCTCACAAACCAAAGCACAAAGAAAACCAAACAGAAAAAAAAAAATTGTAACATTCGAATTATTGGTATGTTTTCTTTTTAACCCTTTATGCAAAAATCTTTCATTTTGGTCCATAGCTTAGTACGTGGGTCGTGGGGCGTACCCTATGAGTACGATGAGCGTATTGGCTCTTCGATGGATCATGGATGCATCCACGTACGCTAAGCTTACGTGGGAGAACGCGGGGCGTACTCCGGCCAGCTAAAAACCTAATATGTAGGGTTTTACCCCTATATAAGCTCATTATGTCCCATGAGCCTTGCCTCTTATCAACCTCCATATCTCCTAAACCCTAATCTCGACGCTTAGCCACCATTTTAATGTTCTTGAGCTCTTGTGAAGAATATTAGTGTTTTTTTGTGCATTTTTAAGATATAGAAGATCATTGAAGGTTCATTGCTTGGAGTGAAGCTTAAAGATCCAAAGTTGTCGTCTCTTTTGCAAGCTATTGAAGGTAAAAAGTTTTTAGCTTGACATCTCTTTGGATAGATCTAGTTTGGGATGATTATGGCTCATTCTAGTTCCTTTGGTTTGTCCTTGTGAGTAAAAGTTACTACAAGAACTTAGTCTCTAGATCTGGACGTTTTAGAGGTCCCTAATGCATAAAAATGTCACATTGATGGGTTTCGTGCAACCATGCAAAGTTGATGTCTCACTTAATGGAGCTAAGATGCTAGAATTGGACCTTGGGGCGTTTTTAGCCATGCAAAGGCTTAAAGCCTTCGACTTTATGGATTAGGACTTTAATATGATGACATTTTGTGGATTGGATGATAAGTTCTGAAGTGATTAAGTCGTTTGGGACCAGGCCAGTACGCGGGGCGTACTCCTGAGTACATTGAGCATACTGGCTGCGAACCCGTTTCTGAATCGATCGCGTATGCAGGGCGTACAGGCCTGGTACGCCGAGCGTACGCTATACTGTGGGCCGAAGGAGTTGTGGGCGTGGATCTTTGGGCTATTCTTTGTTTGGGCTTGTCCCCTTAACCCCTATGGATAATTTTTGTACTTTGGGCTTTCGTAGATTGGGCCATATTAGGCTTTAGGCGCCATTTGTCACACCCCCGAACCAGACGACGGAAACGTCTGAGGGCTCTCGTGACTCAAATTGAATATCATCACAATGAATATACATGAAACATAACATAAACCTCACCATGCATCAATACATTACAACTGACATGGTTCACATCAAGTACATTGTTTAAATTTTACATATCCATAACGTAAATTGTTTGAAAGTTTTCAAAACATAACACCCTATCATACTTGGCATTACTCTTCAGTTTACCTGTTACCTGAGAATACAAGTTATTTTGAAAAACGTCAACATGTTGAATGTTGGTGAGTTCATAAGCAGGGTTGTTATGAAAATGTTTTGTGTAGTTTATAAAAAAACCCAGAAAATCCGATATTTTCTGAAAAGACAATTGTGTTATACCAAAGTGTGAAGATCCATAAGTTTGTGCATGAATGATTTCAAAGCGTGTATAAATGAGAAGTTTTGCATTATAGTTATTGAAAAGTACAAGTGAATGGTGTTGATTTCCTCGAAAAATCCGATGTTTTCCGATAAGATAATATAATTGTTTCAAATTGTTATACCGCCACAACGAATGATTATGATTTTCCTTGATTACTCGGATAGTATTGGATTTATTTTTATGTGAGTCGTTATAACCATGCATGATAATGACTAGTTCGTGTCTTGACATTCTAGCGAACGCCGGAATTGATCTTAAGATTTTGTCACCCTAGACTGGCCGAGTCTAACTGTAGCGAACAGCTGAGGTGTGGGGGAGTCACCCCCGTATAGATCTATACACAAACTCTCGCTCTCCCTCCAGGAGACTTTGATTATAACTACAGACTACGAACGACACTTAGAGGTGTCGCCCGTTATTGCTCACTTAATCCAAACGAAATTGATTACTATTGATTAACGACCTGTATTTGTTTACTTGAATTGAAGGTAAGCCTAACAAACGAGGAGAAGAGGATTACAAGGTCCTGCTAATTATGTGTGTTATTTAAGGCTGTTGGTTATACGAAGGACGCGTTGGCCCATTTCACATTTGATTTATTTGACCTTACTAGCAATGCTAATGGGCCACTGAGGCCCAATAGCACATAAAAGCCATTGAGGGTCCTTTAAACATGTAATTGGGTCACAAGAGGCCCAATAGACATGTGTTATCATCGTTAGGCCCAAAAGTCATGTCAATGGGCCACGAAGGCCCAATGAGCATGATTAGGATTTTTCAAGCCCAACTATTTGAATATTTACTTGTTTTAGGTATAGTATAATTGTCGGAAGCTTGATTGAACAATTGTTAAATTCGCAACGGCACGAAATTTGTCGATTGTTTATAACGATATTTGAAAATATATGTATATTCTTCATTCTATTTTCATAAATTGTAATTTGGTATTTTTGACCCAAATATCTTAATAATAAAATAACTGACTCAAAATATTGGTTTGACCCATTCAGCCCTTCTTTAATAAAAATGACAATTTTAGTCCCTTATATAAAGAAAAGACATTTTTGATCCATAGACTTTTTTAAGTAATGTTTTTAGCTCAAAATTTACTCTTTGGCAGTTTCAGTCCCTTCAACAAAGAGTTTTTCAGTTAAAGTCC